TATCGGTGGGACGCAGCAGGATACGCGGAGACGTTGTCGGTCACGGTGGGAAGCCAAGAGAGGCGGGCGGCCATACAGTGCGGACCGTGCCAGCCGTTGCCGAGCGCGGTATAGGCGCGTGGGAGCCGCAGGCGGGAAGCCGGGGGCGGAAGGGAGATGGGAGGGTTACACGCGTGGGTGGGAGCAGGCGGGCGAGTGGGAGCGGGCCGTCCGCGGAAGCGGGGGCGGCAGTGAAGGCGCGGGCAAACGGCGCGTGTGGTGGTAACAGGCGGCGGCATCTGCCGGCATGATAAGATCAGATTCCGCCATTTTCTCAAAGCTATTGGTATTAACTAACTGATATAAATCTAAAGCTGTTTTCAAAACCACGTCCCCGACATGAGGCTGCCATTCAGGGGATGTACGCCGGCATAATGTGGGATGACACCGAGCTGCACTGCGGTCAGGCGAAGCAAAGCCACGCCTCTGCAATGCACATTAAAAATTAAAACAACATCGAGGGCATGTACCCACCTCCTACGAAATATCGGAGACACAAGAAGCTTTTCCACGGTGCCATGATATTCTATCAAAGGTCGGTATAAGATGACAAAGCCCGCCAGTGGTTCTTTCCCGTCGGTATCCTGGGCAAACGCCATAATGATCACGCATTTGTCTTCTCCGGCATCCGCCGCTCTTGCTTTTCACCAGTCAATGATTGTGAAAGTTTGTTCGCTCATCTCCTTAAGAACCATGTTTGCCTTCTCAATCTTGTTTCACCTTGTACCGGTGCAATTTCTGAAATTGATCTTTCGGGTCTTTGGGGGCTTCTGATTGCCACGTCGTGTTTGAGCGGCATTGAACACAAGACTCATATAGGAGCCCGCGCCATCTTCGTCACTTAGTTACTTCGCTTAGTTCTGTGAAAGTTAGTGAGTTTGATGGAATTCTGCGAAAGTTCGTCAGTTCACGCAAATTTCTGCGAATGTTCGTCACTTTCCAAGGATCAACGTAACGTATGTTTGTCGACACATCACACAATCAGCAGTGTGCCGAGCTCGGCCAGTTAGGTTCGGGTTAGCTAGTTAGAGTTAGTGGTTAGCGGTTAGCGGTTAGAGGTTAGCGGTTCGGGTTAGTGGTTCGGGTCAGAGGTTCGGGTTCAGGTTAGCTGGCTAGGGTTAGTGGTTAGTGTTAGGGTAAGGTATCTATATAAAAAAATACGCCCGGCTTGCGCTGAAGGAACAATGATGGCCGAGGTTCCGTGTTCTTGAACGTGCCGAGTCAAAACGAGCTGTAACCTGAGCATAAACATGCCAGATATGACCGCAGTTGGAGGGGATATTTGCTGAATTTCAGTGTACCCCGAGCAACAAATACACTGGATCTCACGGGATTTTAGGGGATATTTACTGACTTTCACTGTACCCCGAGCATGGATCCACTGGATCTGATGGGATATTCGCTGAAATTCATTGTTGTTAAGGAAGAATACAAAACATATGAATTGGTGCACTCCACTTGCTTCCAAAACAGTAGTAAAACTTTCCTCCTCTTTCTTCACCAATTATTTCTCCACTATTAAAACATGGACCACAAAGTCATAGTTGGTATAAATACACTGGATCTGACGGGATATCCACTGAAATTCACTGCTTTGTTGAGCCCCCCCCCCTGAATTCCAAATTGTGGAAATCCACTGGAATCCACTGAACTAATTCCGTACAGTGCATTCCACTGGATGCGGTGATAAATCCATAGGATGTTGATGAATCATCATGGCAGTACAGCGGGTATCACTGATCCGCATTATTTTATCCATCTTATCCATCATATCACACTGATTACCGGTGACAGTGGATGTCCTCCAGTGTACACCGGTGACCTTTGTTGGTCTGGGCATAAAACTCGCATGATGGGAGAGGGCAGGGAAGCATTGCAGTCACAGCCAAGCAGAACCAAACAATGTTGCGATATTCTCAGTAATTCTCCAAATCCCTTTGGCCTATTATCCACGGGTTCCTATCATTTAGCCACCAATTATCAAGCCGCTGCACGAGCGAAGAAAAAAGCGACAGAGAAAACTAGTTCCTGGTCACGGAAATAATCAATGGTTTCACAGGTCATAACAATCAGACATAGAAGGATATTTCAATCTAGGAATTCATAATCACTAGCAGGGACTCGTGCTCTGCTACGATTAATTGCATCAGAAGTAGAAAAAAAATCAAATATAGCAAGAACCCGCCAATGGTGTCCCTTCATTGAGTACACCACTTGTCACCAACCTTTGGTTGGCTCATCGTGGCTCCCGTGTCAGGTTTCAACATTCACAGATGTCAGACTACAGCTGAACATGAACATGGCAGTGAGGTTTTTTGGAAGGGCTGGAGCTAGGGCTGGGTGGGGCGCGTGTTGGCGGCTTGGTGCGTTTTTTTATGCAGCCCGGGGGAATGACGTCATGGGTGATGTCCCGAATTTGGAACGCGTGGAATGGATATATTAATGGCGCAGGTGGGGAGTGTAGTTATCAGCTGCATTAATATAGGACGGGACGAGCTAAGTTGAAGGGTGCACAAGGTGCAGTCCATGGAGTTCCGGCTGGTACTTGGGCTCGCGAACTGGCCTCTTCGCGATCGGTAGAGCACAATGATTGCTCATATGCCGCTTGTGAGGTGTAGCGTTCGCGGAGAATACTTTCCTGCTCGAGAAGATCGTCTAAGCTCGGCAGGCAGTCGTTTTCTTCGAGAAAATCGAGATGGGCGAGGAGATCTGACTCGGCATCTAGGACAAGCCTTATGCACGTTTCAGCTATACAACTGAAAATGTTGTTGAAGAAACACATACCGCCAACAATCAAGAACTCGTGCCTCCCATATCAGGGTCATGCTACGGCTCGTCGGATAGAAATCACATTTTTTGCGGTCGGTTGGTCGCTTCATATTGGCGGCGTTGGAGCTACGGGAAAGGGATGATGGGTCTTTGGAAGCGGCCTGCCCGTAGTGGTTAGAGGAACATGCGCTTAGGTCGGTGGATTTCGTGTGCCAGGTTTCTGGTGTGCTGATGAGATTTCGGAAAGATTTATAAATATCTGGCGTCACAGAAAGATATTTCTGGAGTCGCGTCATGGTCGCATGGGACGCGCCATCACCTCGAACCCATTTCAGAATATTGTCGTTTGTTTCGGGGTCGATTCCCATTTGCTGGTCAAAGTCGACGAGTGCGCGTGCCATCCCTTGGGTCTGGACCTCTTGTTCTGCGTTCGTTCCGACAGGCTGAACAATATTCCGACAGCCATCGCGTAAACGATGCTTCGCAATTGGGGCACTGCGAAAGCGAGCGGAAATTTGGAGAAGAAAATGTTTGAAATGCGGGGCGAAGTTCGCCAAAACCCGGACGAATTGTAGTTTCGTGACGCTCCAATTGTGAGCCCAATCAATGCTGGCATAAACACTCTCCGTTGTCATGGATTGCCGTTCCTGCTTTATAATGCGCGCAATGTGATCATCTGCGTTGAATGCCCCAGGATTTGTATCCTCGTAGCGGAATGCTGTGCATGCGGTGCCAAGCTTCATCTGGTTGTCGCGGCCGAGTCCGTGTTCATATACCAATGAGTGTTGTTGAACGTTGTCCAGAATTTTTCCCCATTCGGATTCGCCGCGCTCGGTCGCGTCGCGCATACCACTCTGCAGAGCGGCAAGGTTGGCGTCAGTCATGGAATTGAGGGCGTTACGTGCTGCACTATCGCTAACAATAGAGCCGAAGCGACAATATACCCGCTTGAGGTCGACGTGGGATTTACACGCAAAGTGCCAGATACCCAGGGGTAGTGCGAGGTCGCCGCTGGCGTACGAGTTCCGGCTGATAATGAACGAGATGATGGCACCGACTTGGATATAAATGCCGCCGATAATCAGTGGAAGGGGTATGTGCTGTAAAGGGGAACATCATACCACGGGATGGGGACGACGCTTCCGCACAACAACGACACCATTTTTGCGTGGAGCACTCATGCACATCGTCAAGTACCAAACTAGTTTCTCCTCACGATACTGGTCGGAAGACCCTTCATGGTAAATTCTATACGCTCCCAGGTGGCCACATTGGCGCCTTCTTTGTGACCATTCGTCGTCGCGCGGATATGGATACGACTTTCGGGATCGTCCTTTTTCCTCGCCATCCGGCCAATGCAACGATAGGCCTCGTTTCCGACGAGCCGTGTAGCCCATGCCGACAAGCAAGGTCGAGAAAAACGAATTTCTTCGAGTGGTGTTGTCGAGGAGAAGGCGGCGGCCTACTGCTCGACATACTTCTTCGGTCAGCCTTGGGGATGATCATACAACAGCTGAATGAAATCGGTCATTTTGATCGAAGTCCCTTGAAAAAATGAAGTTACTGCGGCTCGATGACGTTTCGTTCGGGGATCGGGCTCTCCGCGGAGATGGTGGTGGAAGAGGGTGGCTAGGAAGTCCCCGAGACTCTCAAATCCATACGAATCCAAAATGTTGTCCATCTTTTCCCATTTGGAGCGCTTTGGGGCTCGTAAGGGCATCTGAGTGAATACACCAGATATGGGAGTGATGGGACTTTGCGCCGTAGAGCCCGGTGCGGAGGCAGGAGGAGAAGGGATGACAGGGATAGTGAGTTTCGGGGTTTTATTGTACTTGCGAACCAAGGCAATGCCTCGGGGGTATCTCCTTCCCTGGAATGATTGTTGGAGGTACATAGAGTGATAATACGCGTGTTTTAACACAAGGTAGACTCGCAAATGGAAGAAAGACGCGTCGACGTCATCCGTAACGGGTGTGACGTGACGCGTTTTTTTTTCAAACTCCGATGATTATGTGATACCGTCAGCCCCAATCAACCGAGGAAGTCAACAGACTACAACATGCGAGGTACGAGCTTCAACGGTTGTAGCATCTGTCTAGGAGAGAGGACTTGCGGTTGCGGCGGATTCGGTGGCAAAATTTAATGTGCGGATTGTGTGAACGCAAGAAAAAGTTGGAAAAGTTGGTTGTTGATTCGGACGCGGGGAGTCGAACCCCGAAATGCCGCAGAGCGTATTAGATTACATTGCGATGAGATGCAGCCGTGCACCGTGCACCACGTCCGATGTAAAACAATACATGGGAACCTGGGTATGTGCGTTAGTTTATCTTACAATGGGATAATAAAAGATACGGAATTCACCACAGAATTCGGACGCAGGGAGTCGAACCCCGTCCTGCCGCAGAGTATATGAGAATCCTCCAAGAATTTGCAACCGTGCGCCATGCACCACGTCCGATTGAAAACAGTACATGGGACATTGGGTATGGACGTTCATTCTCTTACTGGGTTAAAAAAGGTTAGAAGAAAAGGAGTATTCGGACGCGGGGAGTCGAACCCCGAACTGCCGCAGAGCTAATCGTTATTATTGGCCCATGAATTGCGGCGGTGCACCGTGCACGACGTTCCAGTGAAAACAGTGGATAGGAAGCTGGGTATGTGCGTTGGATTATCTAGTGGGATCAAAAAGGGTCGACAGCAGCCACAAATGGAATTCGGACGCGGGGAGTCGAACCCCGTCCTGCGGCAGAGCATGTGCAAACGAGTCGTAAAGAATTTGCAGCCATGCACCATGCACCAAGTCCGATGTAAAACAATACACTGGGAATTGGATGGGTACATTAATTATCTCACAGCTTCCCGCGAGGATCCAAACGCTTACGAATTTATTTATTTATTTTGGGAGCGGCGGCAAGTCCTTCAGTCGTTATTATTATATTTCCGAGTGGACCGCGTCATGTGTCGGCAACGCTTTTAAAAAAGCGCGAATAGAAAACGCCGCGTACAGGAAGAATTTATTTGGAAGCGAAAAGTCATTGACAATACATATTAAATACACCACCTCCGCGTACGAGAAAATTGCCTGACTGCTTTGAGAGCCGCCGCAGGTCTAGCAAAAAAAACGAACGAATAGACAAGGTGATTCGGACGCGGGGATCCTGCCGCAGGGTGTTATACAGTAACCAGCAATGAAATGCAGCTGTGCACCGTGCACCATGTCCGATGTAAAAGCAGTACATGGAAACTTGAATATATGCGTCATATTGTCTTTCCCTGACAAAAAGAGGCGGAGAAATGAAATGAGGGAAGAATTCCTTTGGACACACTATACGGCGTGAAATACAGATAGATACACCCCATCAGGAGACATCACTTTTTGGGTGTGGGCGTGGGCGTTTGCGGGCACAAAGCCAATTTTCTCACGGCCATCCACGCCGATTTGTTGGCATGGCCCGCCAAGAGCAATTGGGTCCAATAAGCAAAAATAAAAGCATATAGCAAAGGTTATACCTTCGGGGCACTCTTGAGAAGTTCATAGTAACCTACTACTTGAAGATGCACGGACTCGAAGCATTATTTGTATGATAGTGCGCACATTTGTCCCGTAGTTGACAATCCAACTGCTCAGAATCTGCTGAATTCGTGGCTTGCCTTGTGGTATGTGAAGCACATATACTCAAGAAGATTCCCACACACGGGGAGAACGACAGCACAAGAATTGGGCGTGCTATGGTGCGAACATCAGCCTTTTGACAAATCTGTTGTGAGATTTTGGGGTTTTTTAGGGTTTCCAGGTTTTTTCAAAAAGAGAAAAGGCTTTGAAACAATGAGTAAATGAGGGGGCAATGATATAAAAAAAGTTTTTTTTCCGAGGTTTTGCAAATTGACTACATGTTCAGAGGTTCAGTGGTTTTCGGGTTTTCGGCCCAAGTTTTTGGATTTGGCAGGTGGTTTGACGTTTTTTGGCATCAAAAAACACCAAAAAACCTGACAACAGATATGTCAAAAGGCTGAGTGAAGTGCCGTCGCACAAGCTGTAATTGGCATAATGCCGGTCCACGCTGTGAACAATTGGAATATTCTTTGAGGTCTGATTTAAAGGAGAGTGAATTCCCGGTAATGTAACTTGTTAACGGCGCCATAACTTCGAGTACTAATATACCCGCTGCTGGTAGGTAGGTAGGTAGGTAGCATTACACGGCACGATCTGAATAACGAGCGCCGGTTTCCAGGAATCATCCCGGTATACAAAGCAAGCGAAATTAGGTACACCATCTAAAGTTCGATGGTGGTCATTGGCAGATGCTGATGGCCAGTGTATCATGTTGTTTGCCAAATGTTTGCCAGCGGGTTTGATGGAGGCCATCAATTTCCGGCGGCATTGGCCAGCCTCATTTCACACGAAATTAGGACGGATTTCAATGGAACTTGACGGCGAGTAGAGCTAAAAATATGCACCGACCTCATATTCGTCGCATATAATATACAATTCAGAGCCTGTGTAGGTTCTCATTTTATTGTGAATTAGTGAATAAGAATGCAAAGGTTCAACACATACTGGGTGACTTTCCATAACGATAAAATAGTCCTGAGCAATATCCGAGCTTGTTTGAGAGTGCCATTGATGGAATCAAATTAGTTAGTCGTAATATTCTTGTGGGAAGCACGACAGAAATACTATTTGCCTCATCCACCCATTTTCTTGTCTGGTTCCATGAGCACCACATCTTCACGTCGCCATACTCTGCTGGAGAATAATCACTGGGGGCTTCGTGGCTTAGACGTCACAAGACACGTAAAACGCGTTGGAGACACGTAACGGACGCGTCGAGACGCGTCGCGGGCGTACATGAACGCGTGGTTTTTGATGCCCCCCGCAGTGCGGAAGTGTTTTTGGACGTTTCAGACTCGCAAAGGCATACTCCACATTACTCATGCCCCAGTTGTGGAAGGATTTGACCCAATTAGGTTATTCAGGAAATTCTGCGTCTATTGGAATCTGTTCGGGGGGTCGGTACCCCCTGGACAGATTTCTACAGATTCAAAAAGATTCACAATAAATCGTGTACGTTAAAAGTGATGGGGTCCTGACAGCTGTCTCGGCATCGCGGCGGAAATTGCTCAAATACTCCCCAGGAATTTTTTATCGTTATGGAAAGTCACCCACTGATCGTAAATGACAGAGAGTCGACAATTTAGTAACCGACTTCCAGCGGATTCAACTGAGATCTAAATGACTGACGTGTCCAGCGGAAGTCTATGACTCTATTAGGGCATGTACTCACTCAGTTGATGCTGAACTTATAAATAAATAAATTGCTTTGCACTAAAAAATCAACGAAGGAAAATTATTCCATCATTTTCCAGTGGATTCCAGTTCATCCCAGTAACCATTGGAGAAGAATGTTGACCCAATAATCCACTGATCTATCAGTATCCATTGTGAACCAGTGGGTTTTTCATCAGTCGAGAACCTTGATTTCCAACAGATTCCGTCGGATTACAATGTGATCGGTTGAATTAGAGGGAATAAATCCAGTGGCGTAAGAGACATGAGAGACTCCACCAGTATGCAATGCAATCAGAATTCCCCAGAACTTCTCCATTGCAGACCAGTGGAATGCGAAGGTATACAGGCAAATTCTCCACCAGTATCCATAGGAAAGAATTGGAATGCGGAGGGTAAATATTGATATTGAGTTCCACTGGTATCCAGTGGAACTCTGTAGGTAGCGGCATCCATTGGAAGCCAGCGCTCTCCAGTGTGATCCAATAGCTCGGCAAAGGAATCCGACATCAACCAATGCCGCGCGATGCCGATCAGCCGGTTATCAGTGCCGTGTATATTCCCGCTACCTTTAGGTAAGGGTCTTAGGGCACCCTACTTTCAGGACTTGCAGTAAATCACATTTTCGTCATTACACGTGAGTCAGCAATGATTGTCTCTGCCAAAAAACTTCGGCTTCACAATCAGCCGAGTAAATGCCGCTGATGCCGGTAAAACATGATACGCGTGATTATTCATGCACCCGAAGCTGCCGGGAAAGCATGGCAGCGGGCATTTTAAAAAGTTTCATTCTAATTTGCCTTATGTGCCCGCGGATAACATCGCGGATTATATGGTCTCGCTGTTGTGTAATTCACAATTATAATATCAAAACTTTTGAATCTCGGAAAAACTGGAGCGCCGTTGAGCTTCACCAACTTCCTTGATTTTCTTGCTCTTTAACGGCTTGCAATGAATCAATTCACCAAATGCAGCTGTACATTTTGTGGAATTTGAGTTTAGTTTAGATTTCCCACCTTCATTCTAGCCTCTTCTGCATTGCAAGTTCAACAACTACACCTCGCAGATTCTAAAATGGCTCAGTTGCTCAGTTTTTTCTCATCCTTGCAATTTTCTGGCTGGCCAGATGGTAATAATGTCGTAGAAGCCAGGAGCATTCAATGTGAGCCTTTCATGCAGAGTGAAATATGCATCGTAAACTTGGTTTAGCTTCATCAGTCCGCAACGATCTCTTCGTCAAGGCTTCGGAATTTGGTCTCCCTAGGTGATCACTGTTGTTGTGCTTCATAGGGATCCCATGACAAAATGAAGTTATTTTGAACTTGGTTCGGCATCTTCTGCTTTGTTTTCCTGAGGCATTACTTGTGGTTGTGTTGTGTAGATCCTGGCATAATAATTTGAGCATGTGACCCTGGAGCTTAACTTGTCATAGTCGGTGAGAAATCCATTTTACCACCACTTCTTCAGCATTTCCCCTTGGCCATTGGTTGTGGTTCTGCTTCATCATCCATGACATAATACATTGAGATTGAGATGCTTCATCATGAACTCTTTTCGGCTTCACCAGCTCTTAGGCTGGGCAGCCCATTGTTGCTCCTGGTTCTGCTTTTTTAGAACCACAACATAATAAATGTAGTGACTTAATTTGCATAAACGGGGAAGTTCAACTGAGTGCCACCCAAGTTGAATGTGATGGATGAGCTTACCTTGAGCTTAGCATCGGCCGAACACGTTGTGAGCGTGAGACCGTAGAAGTAACTCTGAGTGGGAGAAGTCCGAGGAAGTGTGACCGTGCTTGGGATTTGGACATCAAAAAAAAGTTCTTTAGGAATCATTTTGTATCATAGAATGATCTGAGAATCTTCCATGTTGAACCCCAAATAAACAATTATAAAATACCGCTGAGTTCAGAGAAATTCAAAGTTCAACAATAGAACAGTAGGGGTACTTTATTCGCCGAGCAAGTTTAGGGTCGGCGATGATATGCACACCTTCAG